GGTATGGTTACATTATATTTATCATGATTTGAAATGATGATGAATGAATGACAATTTGTATAAAAGAGTCTTGCATTCTTTTGAAAAAAAAATTTAAAATGATAAGGAAAAAAAAAAGATGGTAGAAACTTAAAAAAGATTATTTGAGAAGGCACATGGTGTGACCAAATGATGAATATGGTAATTGATTTGCTAACAAAATGAAGAGATGACAAAATTTGAAAAAATGATATGACCAAGTGATGAATATGGTGATGAGTTCATCAACATAGCCTATCAATGGTGATAAAGTGATGAACATAATGTGGATAAGAGAACAGAGTTTATTCTAAAATAGCTAGTCTAAAGAAGCCTGTGAATTGTGGTAAAAATAGTATAGGTTAATGGATGAAATTTATGCTGAAATTGCTAGTATTGAGAAGCCAGTGAGTTGTGATTAAATGATATGGGCCAATGGACGAAACTTGTTCTGGGATTGTTAATGTTGAAAAGCCTATGAATGGTGATCAAATGATGAAAATAATGAAAATCAATTGATGAAACTTGTTTCAAAGTGTTGAAAAGCTAAACAAGGAGAAAACGTGAGATGGTGGAGTCTTGAGGACCATATTACCATATTTTGATTAGAATTTCATGACATTGATATCTTTATTACATGCATTACGTTAGCATTATTTTTTGGAGAATGTTTAAAACTTTAGTTTGGATATGCATTTGTATTATGCAGTAAATATTTGAATCATGGTTAAGAATATGGCATTGTGAGAATCTAGATTATTGCTTTTACATCATTGAAAAAACATTTGCATTATTGATCATGGCATTCATTATACGTACAATTTTGAGTCACTTGAAAAAAAATTGGGAATCTTTTGATAAGAATTTTTGAGTTTTCAAATGAAAAGCTTTGAATTTTAAATGAGAATAGTTGAATTTTAAATGAGAATCTTAGAGGTGTGAAACCCAAAATTTATCGAATATGAATCTTCGAACTCAAATGAGAATCTTCAAATTTCAAATGAGAATTTTTAAAGTGTGAAACCCAAAATTTGTCGAATGTGAATCTTCAAACTCAATCGAGAATATTTGAATTTCAAATGAAAATATTTGACGTGTGAAACCCAAAATTTATCAAATGTGAGTCTTCAAACTCAAACGAGAATCTTTGAATTTTAAATAAGAATCTTTGAGGTGTGAAACCCTAAAATTTGTCAAATGTGAGCCTTTGGACTCGAATGAGAAGCTTTAAACTTTTGGATGTGAATCTCCAAAATTCAAATGAGAATATTTAAATATTGAATGCAAATCTTGTAATTTGCAAATATGAATATTGAGATCTTACAAATTTAAATTCTTATGAAACTAAAATTTTGAGGATCAAATTTCAGTGAATTCTTGCAAAGGTTAAAGGTTCTTGCTAATTTGAACCTTTGATTTTCAAACTCAAATTGTGAATCTTTGAGTTCCCATTACAAATTTCATTAGATCTGACCTACGACTCCTCTAGACATGATCGTCAAGGAGCCTTTTATTTTTCAAAGTTGTGGTACCTCTGTTTAGATGAGTAATTTATTTTTTAAAGTTGTGGTGCCTCTGTTTAAAGGAACATTTATTTTTTCAAAGTTGTGGTGTCTTTGTTTAAAGGAGTAATTTATTTTTCAAAATTGTGATGCCTCTATTTAGAGAAGTAATTTATTTTTCAAAGTTGTGGTGCCTTTGTTTAAATGAGCAATTTATTTTTCAAAGTTGTTGAGCTTCTGTTTAGATGAGTTTTGTTTACTTTTTAAAAAAAAAGTAAAAGATGATGAACGTGTTGGGATGATCATATGCAAGGTGTCTACGTTTTTACACAATTCTTGTTGCATAGGAAATGCACAAAAAGGAGCAACTGTAGACACCAAAATTAGTTCAGGTCCAAACCCATTGGGCTTAGTTCAATAGGGTCCAAGCCTAAGCCCATTAGGCCTAGCTCAATGGGGTCCAGTTCATTTAGCCAAACTATTTTTTTATTTTTTTATTTTATTTATCTATTTATTTTTATTAGTTTATTTATTATTTATCTTACTTATCTATTCTTGGTTTTTAGTTGTTTTGGTTTTTTTATTTATTTTATTTTTTTATATTAGGTGTTAAATAAAAAATGAATCTTGCAGCGAATGCGGGCCAGATAGAGTTATAATTGGTTTTAATTTCTATAGAAAAAATCCATGTAGTGTGATAATACTGAAGTCTTGTCAATTATTAACTCATAATCCAACTAAAACTTTTTTGATTTTTGGCCTTATAAATATGCTCATACAAACACAGAAACAAAAACAAAGTAGTAAAAAAAATTTGAAAATTTTTGGGTTTAGAAAAATGGGGATTTTTGAAAAAATCTAGAAAATTTTTAAATTTATGAAAATTTCCAAATTTCTGAAAATTTTTTAGTTTTTGATGAATTTTTTGGTAGGCTTCCTAGAATCCGATTAAAGATTCTGCCACCAGTAGAATTTTTTCACAAATTTACGGTGAACCAATCCAAATTTCGATAACATTTTTTAGAATCCGATAAAGATTTAACCGAAATTCATCTAGTTCTAGAGAGAGACGAAAAGAAAAGAAAAGGAAAGAGAGAGAAAGAGAAGGTGAAATTTGAGGAAAAAGGCTTGGAGCTACCTTTTATATTAGTTCCAAAATGACATCATTTTGCATTTTAATTTAGCCTAAGATCCACGCGTTTTATCGTTGGACGACCTGACCCGTAGCGCGACCCGCTTTTGACCCGCATTTAACCCACGCATCAGCCGATCACTCGAGTCGAGTCGAGCCTCCAAATTGCGTTCCCCAAGGGATTGTTTCTATCTCGAGCCGAGCCAAATTTCAGTCGCAAGTTGAGTCGAATTTCAACCGTAAGTCGAGCTGATTCATTTTTTTATATTTTTTGGTATTTTTTTTATTTATGTGTTTATTTTTAAAATTTTTTTTGCATGATTAAATTTAAAAATAAAATAAAATATTTTTTGGGAATATATATTAATTATCCAACGATGAAATTCATAAAAATTTCAAATGATAAATTTCTATAAATTCTTAAGTGAGAAATTTTGTCTAAATTTATTCCAAATTATGAAATAATTTGGATAAAATTTCAATAACAATAATTAATATTTATTTTCAAATAAAAAAATTTGGGTTGAAAATATTTGATAATTATTTAAGGATGAGATTTTTACAAATTTCAAATGATAAATTTTTAAAAAATCTCTATGTGAGAAATTTTTTTTAAATTTGTCACAAATTGTGGAATAATTTAAATAAAATTTCAATAAAAATAATTGTCATATTATTTTCTTTTAAAGAAAAAATAGAGTTTCTAAATAGGCCTAAATTGTGAAAAATTTAGAAATTTAAAAAAAATATTTCTAAATTGAACCAAATGATGAAAAATTTAGAGATGAAAAAATTTTTTTAATTTGGACCAAATAGTGAAATAATTAGATGTATTTTTAACAAAAAAAAATAATAAATAAACTATTTTCTGATGACAGAGCCTCTTCAAGGAAACAAATTGAATCCTTAAATACTCTTGAGATGGGAAAATATTTTTAAGAATTTTATCAAATTAATGAAAGAATCTTATAAATTATTTTTAATATTTAACATAAAAATTTAAAACAATTAGACTCAAGACCTTATGATAAATTTAAACTAATATGGTATTATCCTTTGGATGGGCATATGGGGTACTATAACATTCCCCATATATAATCGAACTCCTGAATCCTGTTCTGGTTAGTAGATAAGAACCTATTCTGTTAGGGACCTTTAGTTGAGCTTAGGAGCTTCTTAAAAAGATATATTCTTTAGGTGACCAATCACACCTAGATAAAAAAAATTGATAGAGACTCCATCCATTTGTTAAGTCTAGCTATATATTTTCAAATCTATATGTAATGACAATTATAATTAATAGTTTTTCTGTTTTAAGCCAATTAAATACATAATCACAAATTTTTATAAAAAATGTTATCAAAAATTAAAAATGAAAAAAAAAAAAACCAACTATAATTCATCAATGTTATAAAATAAAAGTTAATGTTATCAATAGTCCTTAAATTATAATAAAATGTTAAATTTGATATATAAATTTAAAAATTTTTAATATGGTAATAAAACTATATATCTCTTAATTAATGTGATATTCACTTTTAATATAATTAATTTTAAATGATAATATATGATGAACAAATAACTCTTCAAATATTATATTAAATATTATATATTAAAATTTATAATTTAAATACTATATTAAATTTTTTTAAAATTTAAATAACATATTAAAAATTCTACTATAGTAAATGATATTAACTCAAAAAATATAGTAAATGATATTAACTCAAAAAATAATAATCATAAGATTGAGGGGTTGGACAGCACAAATTGTTTGGATAATCTATTGCCAAATCCTAAATGATCGTTATTAGAGATAATAATGATTCGGATGGATTTAGGTTTTTTGAGATAATACATAATATTATGAAAATTTTAAAATTCAATCCAAATTTAAACCAATTTTTTTTTGAAATTGATTCGATCTTAATTGAATTTTATTAATTCAATTCGATTTAATTTATTAATTTTTAAATTTTAAATTTTTTATATATTATTTTAATAGAATTTTTAATATCAATTCAATTCGTTTAATTCATTGGTTTTTAAATTTTAAATTTTAAAATTTTTATATAATTTTTAATATATTTAAATAGATTTATTTATAAAAAATTAAAATAAATATAAAAATTAATAAAAATATATAATTTAATTCAATTTTTTTAAATTTATGTATTTTAATTTTAATTTAATATATAATTAATATTTAAATTTGATTCGAATAAAAAAATTCGATTCAAACCTAATTAAATTCTATAATTTTAAATTGACTTTTAATTTTTTCCTTTTCTTTTTTTTTCAGCCCTGCCCTTACGCCCGTTCTCAGCTCTGGTGGTCTCATGAAAAGTTTGATGAAACTTGTGGACACTTCATCTTTCCCATCGACCTCCTATTGGGCCCACGTCGGCAGAGACACATGACAGCATCTTCCTCCTATCATTATTAAAATCGCAAAATATTTTTGCCTTGAAACAGCTAAATTTTCATGGTGTATATCATTCCACGTGTCTCCCTCTCACTCGTCAATACCTAGATTTCCCCCTCTCTTGTCACTAAATAGATAGCCAAACACATCCCAAAACCGAATCAAGAACCAACTGTTGCAGTACTCCACGTTCAGTCCCAAAGATACCCAAAACCCAAAAAAAAAAAAACTTTTCCTTTCAGAGAGAACTGCACGAGGGAAAAGAGAAGGAAAAAAAAATAATTAATTGCTTTGATTTGTGAGGATGGGAATTGAGATAGCGAGCGCCAAAGGCATCACGGGAGGCTGGGACATGGCTGCAAGGACGTGCGACACATGTAAGTCAGCTGCAGCGGCTATTTTTTGTCACGCTGATTCGGCTTTTATGTGCCTGGACTGTGATTCCAGGATCCACTTTGGTAATGACAAACTCGTTTCTTCTCGCCATGAGAGGGTGTGGATGTGCGAGGTGTGCGAGCAGGCCCCAGCTGCGGTCACTTGCAAGGCCGACGCGGCTGCCCTTTGCGTCATGTGCGATGCCGACATCCACTCTGCTAATCCTCTGGCACGTCGCCACGAGCGTCTCCCTGTGGAGCCTTTTTCTGACTCTGCTGATTCGATTGTCAAATCTTCTCCTTTCAGCTTTCTTGTGCCGACTGATCATAATGGTACTAATTGTGAACAAGAAGATGTAGACCTAGGTTCTTGGTTTTTGTCCAATCCTAATCTCAATCACAAACTCACCATGGAAACTAACGAAGTCAAAACAGGGGATTTGTTTTCGTCTGAAATGGATCCGTTTATTGATTTCGAGTACCAGAATTCGTTCAAACAGCATCATAACGCAGCTATGGATAGCGTAGTTCCTGTTCAGACCAAACCAGCAACAATTCCAGTGATCAACAATGAAAATTGTTTCGAGATTGACTTCTGTCGACCCAAGCTCCCTACTTTCAGCTACCAAACTCAGTCTCTCACCCATAGTGTAAATACTTAACTCCACTTTCTTCAATTACATAATCTACTCAAATTTTCTTTTTTTCTTTTCTAACTTTTTACAAAAAGGAAACTTCCTTCCCCTTCGCAATTCAATCTTATTTTAACAAGTTTCAGAATAAAAAAAGAATCTGTTTTGAAAATGAAACTTCTGTAAACTGATTCTTGATACAAATTAAACAAAACTTTCAGGTTTCATCATCGTCGCTTGAGGTGGGATTAGTTCCAGATGGGAATTCCCTGTCCGATATCTCGTACCCTTTCGGACGAACCATGACTGATCTAAGCGTACCTATCTCGGCAACTACGATCAATAACCAAGCACCCCAAGTAGGTGGAATCGATCGAGAGGCTAGAGTTTTAAGGTACAGAGAGAAGAGAAAGAACAGAAAATTCGAGAAAACGATCCGCTACGCTTCACGAAAGGCCTACGCTGAGTCAAGGCCTAGAATCAAAGGCCGTTTCGCCAAAAGAACCGAAATCGACAACGAAGTTGACCACATCTATAAATCCCCTTCTGCCGCTGCAGCAGCTTTCATGTCCGACATGCAATACAGTGTCGTCCCATCCTTTTGAGGGTTGATGAATGAATCTGATAAAGAGGAAAAGAAGAAAAAGAAAAAGGGGCTGTTTGTTTAGCTATGATCCAGTAATATTCAACCGTGATTTTTATCCAGCACGTAGAATAAACCTAGGGCCGTTGATATTAAGGAAAGCAAATGTCTAGTTTCTAATTATGGTTATTGATGTAAATATAGTGTATCGTTGAAGTTTTTGTTAGCCGTTGATTTGCAGGATTCAGGATGATAAGCTGCAAGCAGATGTTAAGTTTTGGCTAAAGTTTAAATGAAAATTTTCTTGCAGCTCTGGAAAAAAGCCCTCACTTTTTCCTTCAGAGGGCTTCTTCTGTGACTCTGTTTTCTGGTGCTACTAAAGTCAAAAGTTTTTGCCTGCCTTTTTTCTCCTTTCTGATTCGTTTTCCCTTCTTTTCCAAGATCAATCATGGATCCATTATCTCAATCCCATTGGACCAATTACCCATTTATTTTTAATAATAGTAATGTACCAGTACAATGGAATATTATGGTATGTAGATTCTGAGCTCAAAAACTTGAAACCAGACATGGGCTGTCTTAAAGAAAAATATTTGCAGTCTTTCTGAAAGTTTCTCAGACAGGTTGGTTTTGGTGAGCTCATGGTTGGGACAGCCTTAGTTTTCCAAGAAAAGAATATATGCCACTCTGAACTTTGACACTAACACTGTTTTTTCGGATTTCCAAAGATAGAAGTTGGCATCTTCACTTTTTTTTTTCCCACATTGTTTATCATCTGCAGCGCAGCAGCAGAATGAAATTTAATCAATACAATTTTTTTTCTAAGAATGCAATTGAAGTTTCAAATTCTAATATTCATCTCACACAATTGTAATATCTGTAAGCAAAATTTTGTTAGTGAACGTATAGGTGAAGAATAAATTATTTCTAGATTTCGTTTCCTACTAACAGAACAAGCAGTTGGGCCAAGTACATATTGCCTCGTTTGCATAATGTTTGTTTGGTGGGCAGTTTGTCTAGAACAGTCACATGAAATAAGAGCATGTTTGGGATATGATATTTTAATCAAATAATCTTATGCCAGTCAAACCTATCTAGTTTGTGTCTGATTTCGTTCCAAGTACTTGCAGTGCAATAAGAATTAGTTGAGTTCAACCATAGCCATTTTCCATCTTGTATAAAGGCTAGAGCAATACTATGCATTTTGACGAGCTTCCTCTTAAAGTGATTTTATTTGGGTTATTTTATCACATTTGTTCATTAATAATTCAGAAAAAAAATTCAAAAGGCATGTTAATTGATGTTTGGATCAATTAACATAAAATTTTTACTGACACTTAAAAATTATGAGTTCGAACGAGCTCATATTAGTTATATTTTCTTCATCTAGATAAATATAGCGGACGAGGAGTTAAAGTAGATTAAAAAAAAAAAAAAATCCACAAGGCATGCTAAGAGAATGTCCAGGTGCATGGCGGGCAATGTAGGCTACAATCAAGGGCGAAGCCAGCATCATGGTACTGGGGGTCAAGTATTAAGTTAATGGTAAATTAAATTAAAAATGGGTCAAAAATGAAAATAATAGTGCGAAAATAGAAATTTTAAAGCTATCAAAGATTTTTTGGAGGGCCATGACTCATGCTGCCCCTCTAGATTCACCTCTGGCTACAATAGAAAATTATGTCAATATTAACAAAATTATTTTAAAGAAAGACTAAAATGAAATCATTTGAAAAGATTAGAAATTTAAATATAACAATTAAAATATGGGAAATTAAAGTAGAATCAAAATAAAAGATTATGATAAGAAAAACTTTTGGCTCAAGTTCTACTTTGGAAAGCTTAAAAAAGTTAAGGTTCAGCCCCTCTCTTTTTTTCTGTTTCACGGGGAAGAGTACTGTGCTGAATAAAAAGCACCTCTGGTTGTTGGCCTAGAGTTAACGTCGGACTCCAAATGTTAATTTGATTGTAAGGAAATTAATTAATTTCGATCCACAAAAGGCTTTCAGTGACTTTCTTTCAAGCTTGTGACCTGATTGAAACCATGTGAACTGCTGGACTAGTGGCACTGATTTGTTGTTGTTTTTTTTTTTTTCTCAATCTTTAGGGGATAATGGACAATATAATGGATGAAGATGATCGATAACATTTGAATTTAATATATAAACTAACCGATCCCAATTACATTAATAATGCATGAACTTGAAAACCAATTAATGACACCTGAAGCTGTAATAAATGTGTGGAAGTAGGTTCACTCATAGAAATTCTTCCAGGGAAATATCTGTTGGAACATCATATCCAAAAACCATTGAGTAATCATCCAACTCATCAGAGGTAAACTTTGGCATTCTCCAGCTCTTTGCAACATCAGGGTCATGGCCAGTTATTAGAAGCTCCAAGACCTGATAAATGGAAGCATTTAATCACATCAAATACATTGCCTCTCTGAAATGACTTGGACTATCCTGCCAAATGTATATATTTTTTATATATTAAGTACCTCGCTCATTGATGGACGCCATACCGCTGATTGCCTCACGCAATAGCAAGCTGTTAGCACTGATCTATGCATTTGATCCTCATCATATTTTCCTTTCAGTTTCGGATCAGCTAGTTCAGTGATGTTCCCAGATTCCATAAGAGGCTTTGCCTATATATAAATGAAAACAATTTCAGTGAGAAACTGGATGGTAAAACTTTTCTGCAATATATGGCTTAGAGCAAATTATGCCACCAAACTAATGTCTTTACATTTTGTCCTATCTCAGATGAACAGAAACAGAGTTGTCTTTGCAGAAATTTCTACCTATTGTTTTTCTTTCTAGTGTTCTTTACTCAATTTCCATATCAAAATACAAAATTATGATATTTACTACTTATGTATGTAATTTTCCCTAAGACAGGATTTTCACACAATGCCGCATACCCATAAAAGGAGGTTTTGCTTTGATGAATCCACAGGCCGGCGACCAGTAATGATCTCCAGGAGAAGAACCCCAAATGCAAAGACATCTGTTTTCTCATCCACAATTCCATGCATGAAATACTCTGGTGCTAGGTACCCAAATGTCCCCTCTATTGGGATCACAGCGTGATGAGTCCATTTGTTAGGAAGCCATTTTGAAAGACCAAAATCAGTGATCTACAAAGAGATGAAATCATTGTTACATTCAGAAAAAGAAATCATGTATTGTACTTTTCCAAACCATTTCCGGGACTTGTCTGTTGTTCACCTGTGGTTCATAATCCGTTCCGAGAAGGACATTAGAGGCTTTTATGTCACGGTGTATTATTCGGTGTTCGCAACATTTGTGCAGATAATGAAGACCTCTAGCAACTCCAAGGGCAATTTTGTATCTCACAGGCCAATCGAGTGATACACTTGTTTTACCTGAGGATTCTCCCAATTGAAATAGACCCAATTAAAAAATGCAACAACAAAATCTCCTATCCAAATTAGTCATTCTGCATTTTAGCCAGAATAGGCCGTTTCTCTTCTTACCATGCAATGCAGATGCCAGAGTTCCCTTCTCAGAGAAGTTGAAAATCAAATACAGTCCATTTTCGATGCAGCAGCCAACTAAGTTTGCTGTATTGGGGTGGCATACGTGCCCAATTATGCCCAATTCTGTGAGAAATTCGTTCTCCTTGTTGTCCTTGGCCAACCTCTTGACTGCAACAGCTCTTCCATCAGAAAGATCACCTCTGTACACTTCTGAATACCCTCCTCGACCAACTATATTATCTGATACCCCAAAAAGCATTCAGAGGATTTCTATGAATAACATCTCGATTTCATAAAAAATGACTAAAGCAGTAAAAATGTAAAATATTACTCTTTTCTGAGAAGTAACCGTATTTCGATTTTTACCTGGATGGAAGTTATTTGTAGCATTTGAGATCTCTTCATAGCTAAAGCACTTCATCAAAGGTTGCTCCTTTTCTTTGATAGATAAACTAGCCTTTCTTTTCCTAAGTGGGGAACTAAAGAATGATGAGATAAATTTGTAAGGTGATATCTGTTTCTTTATGGGGGATTGCCCTTTAAACTTTGGCGCCTGAGGAAGTGACCCAGACATTGTTGAGCCCCCAAAGCTGGAGCAATCATCTTCTGTGCTATTTGATTCTCCTTCAAGTGCATCTAGAACAGTTCTTGGGGAAGGCTTTTGCACTTTTCTTTTGGAGGCAATAGAATTTTGAACAGGGGAAATAGCCTCTCCTCTGTGATCACTCTTGCTATACCATATTGAGCTCCATTGACGAGTGTCTGCGTAATCAAAACATTAGAAAGAACGAAATTAAGGAAAATTTTATAATGGTTCAAGTATTACTCTGGAGTAAACTAACCATCAAAATGTGAAGAAGTAGAATTTGAGCTTGAGTTTTGCTGTGGCTGCCTAGATTTCCCTATTGAAACCACTGTACAGCCTTCCGGGGCATGCTCGAAACAGTAGCTGGTAACTTTGTTTGAAGTTCTAATCCAAAAAGAAAAATCAAACATCAAAGAACATATAATAATAGAATTTAAAATATCCAAGGATTGTTTGATTTCTCACTTTTTTGAACGATTTCTGGAGCCACGAAGAAGAAGAAAATCAGCTGAGATGGATTTTGCTTCCTCAATTAGGCCCCTTCTAACGCTCGAGCTAAATCCTACTTTTGCCTCCAAGTTTACCTGAACAGGATGGATGACCATTTTATATTTAAAACGTCTCTGCAGAAATCTAAATTTTGGTTTTTGTACAAAAAAAAAAATCTAAAATTTGGTTACCTGCTTAGACTGGCAGGTCCTCGCAAATTCTCCAAGCACAGATATAACATGAGCTTTTGCTTGGCGAAATTTTGCTTGATCTTTTGTTATCAATTTATGCTTCTTGGATTCCTCACCAACTGCATTTTAAAACATGCAAAGTGTTTTAAAGTTGAACAAATTGATTCAATTTACTTCAAATGCTATATTCATTCAATAATTGAAAGTCTCTCTCTCTCTCAAAAAAAACAAAATTGCAACACAGCAACATAATTTATTTGGATTGGCAACCGAAAAAAAGGCTGACGCAATGAGATTTTGGTTCAGCCAGCATTGAGTTGACAGAATGAAAAATCATAAGCAAGTGGCAGTGAACTCTCATGTCAATACGAATGTACTAACCAAGAACATGTAGGGCAACAATGTCGTCATTTGGATGAGCTACAACTCTGATTGCCCATGACAAGAGTTCTTTGCTGTCATCTGGGTCTAATGAGAAGCCAATGAGTATTTTAGCAGGAGCTGAAGTCACCATTTGACGACACAAGTTGGCCGA